AGAGAGAGAGAGAGAGAGAAAGTATTATCATACAGAAGCGGATATATGCAATCATTGGTTTGGGGGATGTAGGGTGGGAGGGAAAGATAACGTGCGATAACACGAGAAGGAGAACAGTTACAACCTCCATCGTCGTATTGTCTCCCTATGTCCCTCGTTTCCCGGGGAATCGATGAGCGTGACAGTTTGTGAAATTGGATCCCAGATGTTAATGGACGACTGATGGATTTTGATATTCCCTGGTCCTGGAGGCACGGCGCTCCCGGGATGTCACGAATACATTTGAAGACGTTACTGTTTTGGTTTTCATTTTCGTTGACGCTGGCTAATGGGTTTTGACTTTTCTCTCGTTGAGGGTGTCCAGAGGGTGTCACTGGGATGATTACAGCTTTACACAAAAGGGGTACAGAGTATGATATAGAGTAAAGCTGGCATCGATACGCGCCTAAAGCTCTGTTACTTTTTGAACTAGGTTGACAAACGTTTATTTTTCAAAGCCCTCGAGTGCACAATTCGTTTTTTGTTGTTTTTTTGGTCAAGAATAGATGTGGAATGATATAGTAAAGTTGCAGCTTTGGAGTTTGACTCCATAGTTGTTGTTGTTGTTGTTGTTGTTGTTGTTGTTCTTGTTTTATGTGTATGTGTTTGTTGATGTGAGTGTGATTTATTATTCTTTTTTTTTTGGGTGGGTGGGGGTGTTCCATTTTCCCCTATATGTTTGTTATTATTGCTTTGCTGTATTATTTTTATTTATCTTTGTCTACTTTTGCACAGCCTTTTTTTCCCGGAAGAATTTCCAAATGTATAGCGAAAATGATGATGGTGATAATCTCTGAGTTTTACATTGGTATAATACACTCTTTCAGAGAAGGAATTTTTGTTTGTTTAAAACACATGCACGAGTGTGTTACGAGGACGAGAATCCCCTACATATGTGTTCAGTGCTTGTCTGTGTGGGCGTCTATAGAATATAAGAACACTTGTGGATTGTTGGCGGGTGCTCTGGTGTGGTTTCTTCCTTCTTTCCTGTCAAAGACCTATCATCCTTATCTCTCCTTTTTTATGTGTGTTACTCTCTTGTTACACCCATACTCTTCAGCACTTGCATGACATTATTGTGTTGCAAGTCCCATAAAAGCTTACTAGTGATAAAAGTATCCCTGGTTTTGTTTGCTGTCTGAGTCTGGATGACTTTTGATTGTAAAAGTTTGTAAACCATAAAGCTCAAAATCACTACACGCTTAATTGGTGGATGCCCAGTTGTGGTTTGCTCTCCTATCAGTTATCTATGTCCTGATCCCCTCTTTTTTGTGTTTGTTACTCTCTTGCAACTCCTCTAATCTTCGTCCCTTATGGCCTTAATGTGTTGCAAGTGGCATTAAACTCTTACAAAAACTAAAATGACTTCTTTCAAAGGAAACAGTGTGTGAGTGTCAAGTGTGCCAATGTAGTTAATAGTACATGTGTTTCATAATCTTCATTTGTTAACTTGCACTTTCTCAAGACATGATGCAAAATGTTTTCAAGGGATTTTCTGAGACAAAAATATAATGTGATCAAATTTTTAGCACTTGCATGATTTGCGACTGTTACTTTTGTTATATATCTCTCCTGACAAACTCCGCTTATCACAGTAGGGTTCTGAGATGTTCCCCTATATTAGACATCAAAGGATTGCAGGTGTGGTAGAGGCTGAAGATCCCCGTTTTATTCACATTTGCTGGATTTTGGTAATGAGGTATAGGTATAGGGTAGGGGTAGGGGTACGTGTAGGGTAATTGTTATTATATAACCCTCACTCTTGGCCTCATCCTAACCCTTACCTTATTGACTGAATCCAGCAAAAGATGCAGACCTGGAAAACTGTCCTAGTCCTTCTTATTGTCTCCATTCAAGCTGATGTTTCATAGACGGTGCTTTTATCTCTTTTTGATTTCAGAGTAGGGAGTCATGTCCATGAAGCTGGTCTCCAGCGGTAGCTACAATGTGCGCGCGTCCGAAATGGCGCACTTACAAGACCGCACTCCCAAGACCGTGAATTGTGCCGTCCACTTTCTGGATGACACAGTGGAGACCTTCGAAGTGGACGTAAGTCTTCGCTTTAATCAGGGCGCACATGAACAATGACTCTGTCCATATTGACCGAATTTTGCGTTAAATTTTTTTGTAGGTTTATGCTTCCTTTTATGGAAATCTTGTGTTATTGTTTACTCCAATGGACTACTATATATACATCTTCTTCTTCTTCCTCAAGTTGCAGATCTGAAAGAGAAATCAATGATCATGGTTTGTCAATCATGCTTGAATGCACTTTTAAAAACCTTCATGTTATCCTGGTCTGTTTTAGTGTCCAGCTGTCCATTTTTGCTACGTAAGTTGTTTTGGTCTTTTATTTTCCTAGTGAGGGCAAGATGTTCAGTTGTTGTTTTTTTGTCGATGCAAGTATCCTTGAAACTTCATCTGTCTGTTCATATAAACGTTATGATCCTATCAAAAGCTATTCATCTGTGCTTTGGGGGGGGGGGGGGGGT